AAGTTTAGTATTGATCACATCTTATTTGAAATTTAACTCAGTTTCAATGGTATCAACGGATTTAAACCTTTTAGTTTTGTAGTTATCATTGTTTATTTGAAACAAGGTCGTGAAATCTTAAAAAAAATTAAAAACTAAACTATTGAGTTTAGGACCATAGTTAATTAGGACTTTTGATTACTTTTTGAATATACAATCTACTGGCAAAATTTGTAACACGAGTAGCCGAACACCCTGTATATTTATTCGCATAATCCAAGAAATATTGCTTGAAAAACCGACGCGCTGCCTCTAGATCTCGGTGGATTATATTATCATCATAATCGGGGCTCTACAAACTCCAACTAATGCATTAAATTTATGTTTCATTTTCAAAAGGTCCTCGAGGCTCTTAACATGTGAAATTGTTGATTCCGCATTATGCTGATCCAGGGCTTAGCTATAATTTATTTACCTCTTGATATAAATCATTTCTGTTTCTCAATTTTTTTTCTTCGTGCAAACGTACAATGGATTTTATTCTTTTGCTTTATTCCTCACTGTGAAATTGAAGAATTATATTTAAGACTAGCCTATTTAGGTTTTATCACGGGAATCATAAGCCCCCACAACCAATGTTTAGAATATATGAGTAGAATAATGGGTTCATTCACGTTTCACTGTAGAATTTGGGAGGGGGTTGAATAAATAATTTTACAATATTAAAGAGTTTCTCAAACACAAATTATTTTGGTTCATATTACATAGATAATATTGCTTTATTCCTCGTACTTTCAATATGTATCAAGTACGTTTGGTTCTCATGCTACAATTTTATGGATTAAAGCTATTGAAGTAGCATCTTTAAACTTATCCATTTAAGCCTTTTGTGAATCTTAAGGCTCTACTTTTTATAATAATAGAACCATGTACTATCCATGATTGCTTTATCTACTAGATACTAAAAATTAAGAAATAGCATGTTCGTTAAACTTTTTTTCTCTGTTGTTTGATCGTTTTCGTTCTGCCTCTATGAGCTGTTGTCGGTTTGAGGGCTAAATAAGGATGGGCAGACCAAAATGACCAAACTACAGGTTCATCACTCTGCAGACCCCAAGAAAAAATCGCCCAATTTTTTTTTTTCTCAAGAAATGTTCTCTTCTTAATCCGTATTTGACGAATGCCGTGGTACTCCGTCGACCTAGGTGGTCGAAGCGACCTCAGAGGAGACGTGCCAAGACTGGGCCGAGTCGGCACGGCAATGGGTCGGCAGAGGTGGGCATGAGGACCGCCCATTGGGCGGAGTCTCAGCACCGCCACTGCTGCCTGCTTTTTTGCTCCACCAGAAACGCGTACGACAGCTAAACTGTACTCAGCAGACAACTATCGAAACGGTTGAGCTGCTGAGTAGACATAAAACTCTAACCACTAAGCTGTTAGTAAACCGTTTGAACAAAAAAAAAAAAAAATAGTATTTTGTTTTACTTCAGACAGACCTAATATAATATCTTAATTTCATCTTACACTTATAGAAATTCAATGAAAAACACAAATGTTTTATTGGTGAAACGCGCCCGATAAAAAACAGCGAGAATAGGCGGACCAGACTGAATCGACCAAACGTGATCGTTTTGCAGACCTAAAACAATATTTTAAAATTTAATATAAATTCAGCTTGTAGACACGGGTAAAATGCAAATGATTTCTTTCAACAAATTGTTAATTTAACATTTAACAAACAAGTTTATATAAGATAAAGTCTATAAAGTTATAAAATTTAAAAAATATATATATTTTTAAGCATTGACAAAATCAATTTAGTAAGATACTGCAAGAAAAACAATAGGTCAATAATAATACAAATGTATAGTATTTAGTAAACTTTAATTAATGATTATTTAGAGATCTTGAGATGCGGTCTGGTGTGATGTAGGTTTGGAAAAACATTTTCTTTATCGTGCCAACGTTTCGAACTTTATTAAGATCATCTTCAGAGCATTCAACAATTCTTTAAACAAACAATTCTTTAAATTATACAAATACATATAATATGTGAATATGAATTTATACAATGATGTACTCAATATTGAAATTTTAGGTTTAATCAAAGTATTTGGACTCACTCAAAGCGAGTGTTTTCTAAGTAGATGTGTCACTGTTGTGTGTTGTGTTGAGAATAGTAGTGAGATATTAATGTTTTTTGTTTATATATGTTTGATTTTGAAACTAATTCAAAACCACTCCTTACAACTTCAACAAATTATACACATAATAAACTGTATATATACTATACATAATAAATAAATAAAACAGATTCTGGAAGACTCATATCTCAGGCCTGACACTACAGTGCACTGACTACTAACAGTAATAATGCAACGATACGTTTTGTCCAAACTTTCTTCCAGACCTGTTATTCCTGGACCCCTAATATTTATAAAGAAAAGCCTGTAAGGATTCAAAAATGCATTTAATTGGTTTTTTTATTGGAATTAAAACCCTACACAGCACGGCTGCACAAGAACCAAGACAAACATAGAAGAAAAAAAGACATTGTGATCCATCCATTTAAATTTTTTTTCCATTTGAAAATTTTTATTTATCTAACACACAATTAAATGAACTATTAACTAGCTAAAGTTGAAAAAAGAATTAGTTAAATTACTGTTAAACAGATTACACATAACAAATTTTATTATCGAGAAAAGTTAGTTCAAACCAGAAGTAGGTTATTTATCAGTTATTTATTTTTATATCACAATGATGTGATAATTTTGGCCTTGTTCTATACTAAGCAGCTTTTGAAAATTCACGATGCTTCTAAACTTTGCCCTTTTTTCAGCATATTATGTGCATAAAACTAATGAAGCTGGCTAAAGTAAGAAAGTCCCGGGCTCGAATCGAGTGGCCCTGCATTCGAACCCGACATACTTACAAATGGGCTTTTTTTCAAAAACACCGGCAGCCCGAGGGTTGATGTAACCTCTGCTGTTGCGAACCCTTGTAAAAAAATAAAATAAAAAGTAAGGAAGTCATATTATTGAACAGACTATACATAATAAATTTTATGAGTGTAATAAAGGCCTGAAACTATCCATTAGATGAAACCAGAAGCAATTTTTTTGTTATTTATCTGCGCCCTTGGTCAAAACTGGATAACTAAAAAACTAAACTGCCCAGGATTGTGATTTAAAGTTTACACCTTTGATACAAATTCAATTTTTATAGTAACCTTGTTTTATTGTCCTCATATTTCATTAAATTAAATGGCATTGTACATAGGTTTAGTAATTTATTTATTTATAACATGACCAATACTTATCTAGTTATTAACACAAATTTAGGGCAATTACTCATACAGTTTTTCAATTTGTTAGGCAGAAAAAATGGGATTTCAAATTGTATTAACAACTTCCCAATTTTACAAGTGAGATAATAGCACTAATTCTTATTTCACCAACAAAACAAATGCTTTTAATACAAGTATCGAAAAAATATATATATTTGTTGCACCTAGATAATTATTATACATTAGGACATAGAAATACACTTATTCTATTTCAGAATGTCAGATATTCAAGTTTACAAATAGGCAAGATGAAATGTTGACCTAACTTTTTAACTTGCCTAAAAGTTAATAGTTTCCATCTCAACTTAATCATTTATCTCCCAATCTGTCAGGTCTAAAAACTTACTGGAATATGCACTTATCTCATTTGGCCATAAGTCAACTTATCCTGTTTTGCCCTGAGGGTGGATTTATACATCATAATGACAAATGTGATCGTTTTTAGTTCTCATACTAAGCTGGTTTTGAATATTGAATTCAAAGCTGTTTATAGTTTGAAAGCCTTTCTATAATTTTTTAAAAGAGTAATCACAATTTAATTAAAACAGTCTGGGCCATTGTAAAACAAATTATATTTTATTTAGATCTTTAAAGATCTTTAATGATCAATAATAACCAATTTCAGGTTCATCACTTCTCAGACAAAGTTTTTAGGTATTACAATCTAAGAGTTTAACCTATTATTCAGATACCATCCTCTTTCATGATTTGCTCAAAAATGTAGCAAAATTTGTTTAAAAATACTAGCATTATTGGATAAAGAGCGGAAATATCTTGAATAGACAAAAAAAAAGGTGCATAAATAAATTATATGTTACAGTCCTGCTATGATATTTAACATTTAAAAATGAAATAAATAAAACCAATTATGAAAGACTCATATGTCACATGTACCCCTAATATTTTTGAAGAAAAGCCTATGTTTCAAAAATGCATTTAAATGAAAACCATACACAGCATGCCTGAACAAGAACAAAGGTAAATATAGAAGAAATTAATTCAATCCAATTATGCTAAAAAGTTAGACCATATTTTTTACAAAAGGCAAGCAAGCAAACTTAATCGTACACACAATGATATAAGGCAACAAAATGAGTTAGGATAGACTGGGTTTGTCATTGATGACATAAAATTCCATTGTATTTTTCTCTTTCCTTATACACCCATAAAAATAATAATTAATTTTCTTTCTTATTATATTAGAAATGTATTTTCAACTATCGTTTAATATTCTTTTAATTTAAAAAAGCAAAATTAAAAGCTAAATTTGAAAATTTCTCATCTTTAAGTGAACTCTGCAAACATAGAAAGGAAGAAAAATTGAAAAAGAATGAATAAGTGTTAAAGAATAAATATTTACGCAGGCAAATATAGATTTTGCTTTAGTTTTGAAGAAAATGAGAACGAAGGAAAAAATTTGCAATTAATATTTTTAATTGGAATTCACGGACCACGGTAGCCGAATGATCAGCATGTTCCTCTCAGCTAGAAGACCCTGCAGTCGTGGGTTCAATTCCCACTGTTGCCCAGGCTTTTTTTACCACCTTTTTATACCACCCTTCCTCCCAAAAACTATATATCATGAAATATCAACAGAATGTACTCTAGTTAATATGTAAGTCATAAAACCACTTAAAAAATAAATAAATAAAAACTAAAGAAAAAAACTACATAAGTGTGAAAGGGCATTTTATGTTTTAATAGGATGCAGGTACAATATAAATAAAATAAATAATACATTGATATAATACATCACAAAAAGGTTTGTAAAACTGTTGGCATATACATGAATATTTATGAATTCACAGTATTTCAAAAAAGGAAATTAAAGAATGATTAGGCAATTTTTTTTCCATATAATACATTTGGTACTTCGGAAACTTCTTTTAGCTGAGTATTAAACTGAATTTAATTGTAGATTACACGCTGTCCTTCTTTCAGAAGAAGAGTCAAACTGAAATGTTTCTTCACCTACGACTGCAGATGTTGAGCTATTTTTACAATTTCAAAATCCACTTTAATAAATATATTTGTTTTATTTTTTATAATATATAACAAATATAATAATATATTTGTAACACAAATAATAAAAACTGAAATGTCTATTTACCCATACCTTTGGTCTTTTGGCATGCTTAAAAGTTTCATTTAATCTCCATGCTTATGAGTTTGATTTAATCACTCTACAGAGAACTTCTGCCATCTCGTAATTTGTCTGGAATGTAAATATGTGAGCAAATTTACTATCTAGCATCTGCGCATTGACTTCCGGATGATGCAGCCTCATATTTTCAAAATGGTGCGGCTCTGTCCATCCGTCTTTCTGGCCATAGTAAATCCAGATTTTGTTTTTGTTAGTTTCATAAACCTGGAAATAACCAGATCTTGGCAAGTGTTTTAAGATAAGTAAAAATTTAATATTAAAAATTATAAATTACATCATGGTCGAGATCTTTAATCCTAAGCATTTCGTCATGAGCAAGGAAGATGGCTTGTTTTATAACTTGGGGAGAAATTAGTTTTACGATACCATGTATAGCACACGTCGGCATTGAGAAATTAAGTCGTAAGAAATACACTGTCCTAACAAGGCAGAAGCGAATATGGTAGGGCAATTTGTACAGAAGCTGTAAAACAAACAAGCATAAATTCACAGCAAAAATAAAAAAATGTGTTGAACCTACCCAACTAACAAAATTAAGAATAAATAGTATGCGAAGTGTGACATTTTTTAAAAGCCATGCATTATGCGTATCGTCAAAATGCTCAAGCGTGGGGAACAACAAGTGAGCCTGTGTTATTTGTTCATTTATCTGTTCATCTTTTAACAATTCCACCACGACTTTTCCTCCAACAGAATGGCCGATTAAGTAGATATTTTTATCTTTAGGAATATATTTATTTATGAACCATTTCTTATGATCGACCTGACCCTGGAGCGTGTAAAGATTTGTATTCTTTTTAAGAGGCGGCATCTTAAGACCGCAATCATCAGGCGGTAATTGGTGCCCTAAAAACATAATTATTTAAAACAAAAATCAAAAAGAAAAATTCCAAGTACAAATATTAAGTACCTGCATGACAAACAATCCATACTGGGATTTGTAAAATGAAATGGAGCATTGACAAGAACTTCATGTAAAAATCCGAAATACCAGGGTTCCCAGTGATTAGCAGAAGGACTTCCTTAGTTTTTATCTCTTCGTCTATCCATCCTCCCCATGTCCTTACCATAGTCGGTACAGAGTTTATGGGAACCCAGCCTTTCTTGTAAACCATTTCTTTAAAACAAATAATAAAATGAAATATACAGGTATAAAAATTTCATCTATTGGGTTGTCCGGAAAATAATGCAGGATTTTAAGTTTTCATTAAAAAAAATCTATATAAAATATTNGAAATTATTTTGATTAAAGAACATTGCTTTAAAGTAACTAGTTTCTTTTTTTTTGTTTAATACCAAAATCCTGCATTATTTTCCGGACAACCCAATAGTTTCATAGTTAGCATAGAATAAACCTCGGACAAGTTTTGAAAACCAACGCTTTACAGACTCTCAAAGATTTTTAACAGCTTGGTATATTCATAGTTGTAGCTTTATCACCCTTGATCATTCTCAGCTGTCTATTTACCAGGATTATCAGGGAAGATGTTCAACGACACTTCACCATTCACTGACACAATACAGTGGAATTAAGTTTAGTTAGCAAAATATTGGTTTTTATAGCAGTTCTATTTTTGCCACGTTTGCAGTTCTAAGTTCGAATCTCATCACAGCCCATTGCTTTTTAATTGAGAATAGCAGTAAAGAAGTATTGTAAAGTGGTTTGACCTCTTGTCCATTACCCATGGGTAGTTGAACGTTAAGCCCTCCTGCATGACTGTAATTACTTTTTTTTTTAACGGGTTTTTTATATTTTACAGATAAAAATGAATTATATTAAGGGTCAGTTATGCGGCCTTGCACAGTTCAAAGCTACTGTTGTTGATGCACTTTCACCTTTAATTCAGAGATTTCCTCTTGTTGTCTGTGCAGTTATGAACCTGTTTCAGCTGATCGCCATCTTCATTGGTGAACTTTCACTAAAATCATTGTTAAAAGCTTAAGACGGCGAGAAGCCAAATTTGACCAACTGAAATGATCATAAACGGCCAAACTACATATCACCCTTGTCGAGTACAGCTGATTATAAGTGGGTCTTAATAAACCAGACCTTTTTTTACTGTTTTCTGTATAATTGAAGTTATTCTGCTGAATGCTAATCTGAACCGGGATCAGTCCAATTGTTTCCGTCTACAAGGACACTACTGTATTTCACAATATTCAAAATTACTGGTGTCATGAACTACAGGTGGTACAATGTGGTTAAGGTTTGGGGCCCAAGAAAGGTGTACCGTGTCCTCATCCACGTCCCTTTCTCACTCCAGGTTCCTTCATTGTTTCCTGTGACCCCTCCCAACCCTTGTTTACAAGGGGGGGGGGTGTCCGGGCACAAAATAATGGTGTAGCCCTGAGGGCTTGGCAACCTCTCTAAAGCACAAGAGCCTCTCTGTACTCATGTCGACCTCAGGTTGGCATGGGGCGGCGGGTGCCTTATCAGAGACACACGAGGGTTAGGGTACCAGATCCTGTCTGCATAGACAGGGGAGGGTGCATAACCATCATCTGTACTACGGGGTAACAGAAATTTTCCAAGGTTCAGCCCCTGTTACATTGGGAATGGACCAGGTTGGCTGTGGTGAGACTCCTGGTGGGTACTTAGAGAAGAGGCTGCCTTCTAACTGTGACCTTCGCACAAAACTTGCGTATGACCATCGTTATACACCAGACCTCACAGGATACGGCGGATCGGACGGCAGCATATAAGCATTGAGGACGCTATGATTAAGCTGAAAAGTCCCTCGAGTGTGTGAGTAGTGGCGGATGGGAATGGATTGTGAATTGGTTGCTCCTACTCAAGTATGCTTTGCACGTAGGTGTAGGCTGAGCTCGATTGGAGGCTTTTACCACAGGCGGTCTCCTCTAAGGGGTGGGTAGCAATTCCACTTTAAACAAAACCTCAGCCGGACCTAATTCGGTAGTTTCTACACTAGGGAAGCCCCACTACTCTGGGAGGTAGAGCAGCCTTCTCTATCTAGGGAGTGCGCGGGAGACCAGGCTGATGTATTTCGGCTTAGGTAGCCCTTTGCACGCGGCATACGGTTCGATGCTTAATGCGAACCCAACCCCTCGGAATGGGCAAGTGGGGAGCGAGGTTGTCTTGGCCCCTCGGGGCTGAGCTGCCTCTACACCAATGCTGCGGCAGTAACATTCTTCTGTCGTATGCGGAGGTGCGTCAGCTCTCATCTTGAGAATCAAAACGTCCGATAAGGCCAAATAGGCTAGATGCAGACGTTAAAGATCATCATTGTCCTTTTTAGGACGACCGAGTATACGGGAAGCAAAGTCATGAACAACTTCCAATTGACTTGAGCTGAAAAAGTCTTGTTGTTGATTGCACGCCATTGAACAACATTTGACAGAACAAATATTCACCAATTCATCTATTAATATTAACATGTGCCATTTGTAAGTAAAGCCAGATTTTGGAGAACTGACAATTTGTAATTAACATTCAATTGAGATTAAACTGACTCAAAATTAAAATTAAAATGGGTCAACCAAAGTTAAAAACGTTGATACAAAGTAGATTTACCTGCAGTCGAAGAGAAACAATCCACAACCTAATATTTCGCTAAACCATGTTTGATTTTTTTAAACAATTATTTTGACTAGTGACAACATTTTTTCGCATAAAGGTAGAACAATTAATTTGTCATGTTGTCTTTTCCATTCAAGGTTTGAAGATTATGATGAACAGTTATGAAACTAGTGAGAGGTCACGTTCTGTTTGAAACCAAGTTCAAGGATAACCGAGCCGTTTGAACAAGTCAAAACTAATTAAAATAAAATCAATTGAGCCAAATTATATTCTAAACTGTTTTTATTCGTGTCTACCCACATAATCAACACGACAGAGAGTAAATTAACTAAATAAAATAAGAATACTGATAACACAACAACAAAGAAATAAGAACACAGTTATGCGCTGCGTTATGATCAAGTATCAACATTCAACATTACTAAGCCTAACACCGACCATTGAAAGCAGTGCTCGTGCGGAGAACAAAGAAAACTTATTTAACTTAACAGTTATTTAGAAATTTTTAACAACTCACATACCATTTATGTATTCTGATGAAAAGTTATGAAATTAACTGTAAAACACAAATAATGATGTATAAACAGTCTTGATTTTTGATTATCCTGTTGTCAAGTCTATTCGAATAAGAAAAGGATATTCTGATGAAAAAGTTATGAAACTAACGCACAAATAGCCAATAATTTATAAACAGTTTTGATTTTTGATGACTCTATTGTTGAGTCTGGTCAATTGTGGGAAGGTCTGGTGAGAAATTACAAAAGTTAAAACAAAATATTAAGTCTATTAAGTAAAACGAAAATATTAAATAATATACATTTCCTTGGATAAATCAACAAAAGTGTCATTAAATTTTTTTTAGTGCAAATTAACTAGACACAAGAGTTGAGACATTCTACTATGTTTGAAAAGAGAGTAATAGATAAGATATGTATAATAAGAGAGAAATAATTATTACATTTCTTGTGGCAAAGAGATTAATCTGAAGAGGGAGTTTTATGCTGTTACACAGTTCTGAAGAATGATTATTTGGAGATCGTGAGATATGGTCTGGTGTGATGTAGGTTTAGAAAAACGTTTCTTTATCTTGCCAACGTTTCGATCTTTATTGAGATCATCTTCAGGGCCTGGGATTTCTAAAGATTGTTTAAATTATATAAATACATGTAAGATGTGAAAAATAATTTTATACAATGATAGAAATTTTAGAATCAATCAAAGTATTTGTACTCACTCAGAGTGTTTGTTTTCTTTGTAGATGTGTCATTATTGTGCATCGTCTTTAAGTGCCAGTGAGATATTGAAGTTGGATTCCAAAAGAAGTTGATTATGGGAAGGAAGGTAATTTAGTGCATATTTAAGTGTTTTTATTGCATGTAATATTGCATATTTTAGGTTTTTTAATGTATATAATATTGCATATTTGAGGGGGGTTTAGTGCATTTAATATTTCACATTTAAGGGTATTTTAGTGCATATAATATTGCACATTTGAGGGTATTTTAGTGCATGATACTGCATATTTGAGGTGTTTTTTTAGTCCATATGCACTGTATATTTGAGGTTTTAGCGCAAATAATATTGCATATTTGAGGGGGGTTTTAGAGCATATAATATTGTAAATTTGTTTTTTTAGTCCATATGCACTGTATATTTGTGTTTTTAGTGCTGAAATATTGCACATTTGAGGGTATTTTAGCGCATATAATATTGCATATTTGAGGGGTTTTAATGCATTAATATTGCAAATTTGAGAGTATTTTAGTGCATATAATATTTCGTATTTTAGGTTCTTGTGCATGCAATAATGCTTATGTTAGGTTTTTTAATGCATATAATATTGCAAATTTGAGGGGTTTTTAATGTGTACAGTGTTGCATAATTGAGGGCTTTTTGTTGCGGTATATTTGAGGATTTTTTTTAGTGCATATGCATTGTATATTGAGGTTTTTAGTGCATGTAATATTGAATATTTTCGGTTTTTTAATGCATATTTGAGGGTTTTTTTAGAGCATATAATGTTGCATATTTGAGAAGTTTTTTACATCATATAACATGGTATATTTGAAAATTGCTCCATCTTTGGCACTAGAAAACAAGAAGTGCATTTATATGCTGAAAAATTAGTTTAATGGGATGCACTGAGACAATTTACTGTAATTTAAAATTAATTGATATAAAATTATTTACTCTTAAAAATAAAAAAAAGGAGAATAATTTACACTCTATATAAATAAATGTGCAATATAAAACTTTTTAAATGTGAATTAAATTATTCTGTATTTCTATATGGTCTGGAAAAAAATTTAAAGTATCTGCCAAGCTTTTGACCTATTTTACGGTCATTATCAGGACAAAACTGTCTTAAAGATGTCTACAAATTGACATAAATTTGTTTTTAATTGATGGTTTATTTGAAGACCGACTTAGTAAAGAAATTTGAAACCATCTTTCATAAACTTAATTATGTCAAAGTAGACGTCTTTAAGATTATTGTTTTGCCCTGATGATGACCCTAAAATAGGTCGAAACTATGCAGAAAACATTTGAATTTGGTTTCATCCAGACCTTACCAAGATCAAGATTATTCATGAGAAAAAAGTGGTCGATATATCAAACACTTTAAATAAATTATATATAAATATGTATCCATTATACAATAATGATTTAAATATTTAATAATAGTTAAATGAAAAACTAAAATAGTAATAGTTTGTAAAATATTTTAATAAACTAGATTTTTTAGAGTTTTAATAAGTGCCCACTTTTTTCTTTCCATTTGAAATAAATCATAGTCTCCCAACGTCAAGGCAAGAGCTCTCTAGTGGTTAAAGGGGCACCACCACCACGGTAGAATTTGTTTATCTTCGTTCCGAACGATTTTCCCTTCCCAGTTTAGTATTTATTTTTACTAATTATTTAATTAATTACATTGTCTACCCGATTGAAACCCATGCAGAGACCGAGATGAGCTCCAAAGACAAGGAAACGAAAACGATGGACAAACTCCGACAGCTATTTAGAATAAAAGCAGGTCCCCAGGGTAATTACGATTTAAAATAATTCCGAATGCTTACAACTATTTATCGGAGTGATTTTAATTTGACAGGTAGTTTCCGTATTAAAGAGGATTTCATTTTGACGGTGGATATGGAAAAAGACCTATCTTCAGATTCTCCGCTCAACGTCAGAATAAAAACCATCAAAGAATTGACTGATGTTGTACTGAATCAGAGATTGGAAGATGTAAGCCTTGGAAATCATTGTGTTGAGCCCTTTCTCAATACTTGTTTTGTAGAATGCTGCAGAAAGGCTATGGGCATTGCTCAAAGACCTCCTCGCGGAGAACGTCTCCAGAGAGAATCGACACTTGGTGTTCAACTTCTTCCGATCCTTGGTACAAGGACAAAACGAAAGGATCGGGCTGATGAGGGCTGAGTTTTTTAAGTTGATCAAAAATCACAACATACCAGAAGACATCGGACAGAGGTTTGTTATGCCTGTCTCCTTGTTAACGTTCATGTTGTACGATGTAAGATGTAATATTTGGGATGTGTAATACACTTTGAGACCTACTGTATCTTCCGTTTTGTACCTATAACACACCAGTGAGTCCTGGTTCATCAAGAAACTTGATTAGTATGCCTGCTTTCAGAGGTTGAATTTCTTTACAATTTCACTGTACAACCCCAAACACCTCCTCGTACTGGCAAATGTAGCACAGTTTTTGTTAGTAGGTGTATTGGTGCCTCGTCTGCTTCTTTGCAGAATCTGGACACACCATGTTGGATTATCAATCCTTCAAATGCTCATTTAGTCTGCATTGTACATTTAAGAATCCAGTCTGGATTTGAAGTTTTTCCTGCTTTGATCTATTCATGTTTTTTCTTTCCTTTCAAAACTTGCTAGAAGTACATAGAAGTACGCACATGCCTGTACAGATTTTAGCTTATATAAATCAGTAATCAGACTGTGAAAAATATCAAAATATTCTTATAAATTATATCTTGTGAGATTTCTCCATGTGGTCTGTTAGATGATGAATCAGTAGTCTGCCTATCCAAGACCAACATTTTGGTCAACCAAAATTCAATAATGACCAAATTTGTTTTAAAATTTTTACAAAATAGGGGCAGGTGTTTGATCTCATTCAGTGTAACTTAATGATGCTTGAAACTATAAGTTTCACTCCTCCAGCTCCTCAATTTTTGGATTGTTCATTATTTCAGGGATTATGCCTCCATTATGCCATTTTCCTTAATAAGGTTGTAACTCCAATACATGTCTGATGAGGGGGCAAACATAAGTCTTGAAATGCATAACCAAAAATTTAAAAAAAAAACTTATAAAGGTTGGTGCAGTTAAATTTATTGAAGAAACCCTATAAGTTTCAATATATTAAAGTAGATGTTTATATCTTTTAACTTTAGAAGTTATTAATAATTAATTTTAAGGCCCTGATGAAGTGAGGGGATGTACTACTTGAAAGTTTGAGAAAGGAACTGAGTGTTTTCTTTAAAATTGGCCTTATCCATGATTTTTAAAACAAAATTTTAAATAAACTTCTGGTATGGTTTTCAATACATGTCAGACTATCAAATTGCAATAATTAAATCATAAATATAATTGAGTAATTTATTCAAACATACCAGAATTGGTCAAACTTCTGAATGATATAGCTTGATTGTCTCAGATAAATGTTTATAATTTTTTGTTTCCAGGTTAGATTTGCTTCAAAGTTTAACTGACAAAGGCAAATATATTCTCTATATCGAGGAAGAAGTCGGCGGTTTCATGTTGAATTGGATGCCTGCGATAACAGTAGCAAAACGTGAACTCGATTTCCTTAAAATATTGATAAATCTTATTAAATATAATGCATCTTATATTGATGAGGATATCATAACAGGGATAGTTCAGTAAGAATTATTGTACAAGTAATTGATAATTAATAATTATAATTGTTTATTATTTTTATTTTAAGGAGTATATGTTTTCTCTGCTGTCAAAGCGATGATCAAAACGTTGTTTTACAATGTCTTCAAGTTCTCGATACGATCGTCTGCTATACAAATTTACCATGTGAATCACTTCCACCTTTTATAGAAATACTATGTAGGACTGTGAATCTTGAAATATACTGCCCTTCTAGTTGGAAAGTAATACAAAGTTTAATATTTTCCATTACAGAACAAAAACTTAAATATTTTTTTTTAGATCATGCGTAACCTTCTTGGTACACATTTAGGGCATTCATCGTTATACACAATGAGCAAAATATTGAAAAGTGATGCTTCACTAACCGATTGTGGACTTTTGAGGGGTGCAATATTTTACATTAGTATGGCGCTTTGGGGCGATAGAAAAGTTCTTTCATTGAAATGTACTGCGACATCTATTCTACCATCTTTTTACGCTGTATGGATTTTTTTTTAAACCAATTTTTGAAAACAAAAACCTCAATATATAATTTATTTTTCACTAGGCACTCCGATGTAAACATACATTAGTCATGTTTGAAATAATGTTGAGTATACAAAACTTAGTGAACAAACATGGAAATGAGCTACTTGATCCTGCATGGTGTGTTGTATTAGATATAATCAATGATGTAATCGGTCATATTGGTAAATATTTTTTAAATTTAATAAAAATTAGTTATAATACTAATTTTAAATTTGTTATTTTATTTTAGAGGAAACTCCGCCTAGCCAATCTCTAAATCAAGTTAATTGCCATCTCCATGAAACGTTGAATTCAATTGAGCAGTTAATAGAAACAGGGATGTTTAACGGTTGTGTCCGAACAGTTTTTGATATAATCGAAAGATGCTCATCTATTAGACCTGTAAGCGTTAAATCGTGACGTGTTTTAACTATTAACTTTTTTGTTGTATTTTTGAATAGGAAAGCTCAGTACAGAGACTTATTAGTTACTTAGCGGCGACTATCACGCCCGCTCGAAATAAATGGCTCGACCAATTGGATTGCCTTTTGATTAGATTTTACACGCAGGAAAAGAGAACAGTTATTCGTTTGAATGTTTTGAGCATATTAGCGAACGTCGTTGAGACCAATCGGTAAGTTGTCATATTTAAAATATTCAATCAGTGTTATATGGATTTTTATCATTTTTAAAGGCGTCTGTTTGAAAAAGAACTTGTGGCGATTGTGTTAAAGCATTTATACAATGTATCTGACGAAAATGACAGGAGTGTTCGAACGTCTGCTGCGAAACTGCTTGTTGACCTCTTCCTCAACTGTGAACCAAAGAGATCTCTTGAAATTATCGCTGTGCTGGAAAAGGTAAAAATTGGCTTAGCTTTCTCCCCAATATTTTAATTTCTTCCTCTTTTTAATTTAATTTTGTATTTTGGAGTGATGTTTATTAAGTAATTTATTTATTTATGTACACATATATATGGATCAAAGATCCTTTACAAAGAAAAATCGCAAGGTTATAAACAATTTAAGTACTAGATAAACAAAATTTATAAACATTTATAAAACTACAAAAAATATTTATATCAACTATTTATTATCATTTATTTATACCATATATACCATTTATATCAACCACAAAAATTTATAACAACTACAAAACAACAACAAGCATTAATAAACAACAATAATAATAAAAATAAACTATATTTATATATTTTATATAATACAACTGTATTTATTTCAAAACAGTCTATACAATTATTGCCTTTAATTTATGTTTAAATGTATTTATATTTAGATGAAAAAAATCAATAATTGGACATACCTTATGTCCTTCTCTCATTATTCTATTTATTAGTGAATAAGATATGTAATTTGTTGTAAAAAGGGTACTAAACATAGATGAATGCCTGGTAGCATGTTTTGGGTCAATGAAAGTGATACATGAAATGAGGTCAGTGCAATTTAATCGTCCATTGATTATATTGTAAAGAAATAATAGATCAAAAAACGCCTTCTATCAGCTAGTTCTGGAAGATTATATAGAGAAAAAGACAGTTGTAAAAATGAAAGGAGAGGAAACCAAAATGAAGGATTCCATTAACAATTAATTAAGGTTTTTTGCTGAGATAAAAAGTCAATGGCACAAGCGGGAATCGAACCCACGATCTTCGGCTTGATACGCCGCTGGTCTACCACTTGAGCTATCGTGACCTCGATCCACTTGGACACAAACTTCCCATCTCAACAGCACCTTTTTGAATTTTCCCTCCTTTTTGCCATTTTTCAAATGTCGTGTAATCGGGTTCGATTCTCAACGAGTTGGATTCGAATCCCGCTCGTGCCATTGACTTTTTTATCTCAGCTAAAAACCTTAATTAATTGTAATGTATTAATTGGTCAAGCAGACCACGGAATTAGTGAATTTAATGATTCCATTAACTTTATTTTAAACGTTACCTAAAAATTCAGAATGAAAAGAAAAGGGTGGGTTCCATACTACAGTAGGAAATTCAAGGATAGAACGAATGAGAGTTTTGTACAATGTCAATGATGAATTGGGATTATGAAAGTTACGATTGTTTCTCATAACAAAACCAAGAATTTTAAGAGCTTTTTTATTAACACTAATAATATGCTCCTTAAATTCCAACTTGCTATCAACAAGAACCCAAGCCTTTGATGCAGGAAACTCTGTTTAATGTGGTATTATTGGGAGAATAATTATATAGTTGTTGGAAGAACAATGAAAGATTATCAAACTCAAACTTTTGTCAGAAGTAACCCACACTCAATGATCTGAGACATCACAAAGACTCCTAACTGATGTTGTACAAGTGTTTCAATGCAACTGCATGCAGCTGGATATTTTTGTTGGATCAATATCAATATGAGTGCCTCACTTGTATGCTAAGAATTTATTAGACCACATCTCCATCTAGGACTCCCTCTTAAAATGGCCCATTTAAAAAGGAAAAACAGTGGGGAATGAAAATTGTGTCCTTTACAACAATTGTAACAAATTAATTCCATTAATTTTAGAGTTTACTACATGCTATTAGAGAAAAAATCATCAATTGACCAAAAATGATGGGCATCGGCAAATCGTAAAGGAATTGCTTTCCACCAGGATAATTTTTGCCCCAAAGCCTCATTGCCCCTTCAGAATTTACCTTATTCCTGGCTGTGAAAAACTTTATTAATGAGAAAACTTGACTTTACTTGCATAAAAACACATCTGGAAGTTCATCGCTCAAAAACCTGTGAACTTCCAGGTGGACAGAATTATAAATTATTACATGGATGGTTCATACATTGTTGATTAAATTTGTTTACGAATACCTGAAATTTTTATTGAAATTACCATAAATAAAATTTAACAAAAAATGCTACAGATTTATTTTAAAACCTGAAATTACATGATAAAATATTATCAAATCCCTGAATGGTAAAAAAAAATTCATATTGTTTTAGCTTTTAAATCGAGCATTTGATCATGAGGAAAATGCAAAAGGTGAAGAAGATGCTGAAGACATCAAAGTGACTACACACGGCCTGGTTCGAGGTCTGACACATTTCATGTACTTCCATCCTCCAACTCCGGCAATACGAGCTTTCACACTGATAACATCTCATCTGGAAACTCATTATTCAAACCCAGCCCGTTTAAGCAAAGTCACAACAATTCGTAGCATGGTATATTTATTTATTTATTCAACAAATATTTTGAATCCATAGATAATGCTTTATAATATAACAATTAATCAAAAATATATATTATTGATTTTGTAATTTTTTATACTGGTGCTCAGATGCTGGAGTGCCTTTTAAGGCTGAGGGCAGACTCTCATTATAGAGTTGGCCTTGCCGGACACAATCCTCCGTACAGTATGTTTTTAATGGCGCATAATTCAATTACATCCAATATCAACAATACATCAGGAGATCTTCTTTACACACTCCCAATCACATTAGCCATAAAGGCAATAATTAAAGCTTTCCGGCATGAATTGGGTAAATATTAATTTTCAAATATAAATAAAATTTGAATTTTTATTAAACACTATTGCTCCAGATTGGAAGGTAATGTTGTTGCTATTGCAAGAAGTATCGAATCTTTTAAAAAATCGTGCATTGCTCGTGTCAAAACATTCTTCGGATGTTGATATTATCGCTAACGCCCTTTGTGGAATGGTAATTATTCAGTATTTAAGGTTGTATTTTTTATTTTAACTTTTATTTTTAAACCTTGTTTAGGTTTGTGAGAAGAGCCTTAATTTACCTGAGAGGTTGAAAAATACTCCACCAAAATTTACAAGAACGGATTTTCATAATTACGTATTTCCTGTCTTGGCTTCACTAGTCTCTTATCATGCATATTTAGAACCGACATTGCAACAAAGGCTGATTAAATGTCTTGAATTTGGTAAATACAAATTATAAAAGAGTTTTAAATAAAAAAAAGAAAAATTGTATTAAATATATTTGTTTTATAAGGATTGGCATCAAGATCTGCTCGCCAGTGCGTCATCGCTTTGACGATATGCATTTTAGAAATGAGAGATGCCATGGTGAAGTTATTGCCAGAAGTACTTCTTAACCTTTCCAAAATCTCCGCTACTGTCCACATAGCTATACCAATTTTGGAATTTCTCTCAAGTAATTTATAACTGATCTCTTTAACTCAATAAATATTAATTGTTATTACATTTTACAGCTTTGACCCAATTGCCTAAAGTGTTTGCAAACTTTGTCGGTGATCAGTACATGTCTGTGTTTGCGATATCATTGCCTTATACAAATCCATTCCGATATAACCACTACACTGTTTCTTTAGCACATCATGTAATTGCAGCTTGGTTTCTCAAGTGCCGTCTCCCTTTTCGAAGAGATTTTGTCAAGTTCATTACAACAGTAAGTTATTTTTACAAAATTAAACAATTATAGATTGGACTGATTGTTAATAATTTCAGGGTTTAAAAGCCAATTTGATACCGTTTGAAGAAGGTCATTTAACAGCAACAAAACCAGAAATAATAAATGAAGATTCTTCGAATAGGAAGAGGAGTTCTAGCCTTACAGAACAAGTATTTGAAATTATCTATTTGTTGTTTTACTTAATTCAATTTTCTATATTTAAACCAGGGAAGTAGAAAACCAGGCACACCACCTGTTTCTGCAAGGATAGATCTTAAACCACATACAAACAATACACTCACAGGAGCCTTTCATAAAGAACTAACGGAAACATGCCTAGATTTAATGGCAATGTATACATTTTCAACATGTTCCCCTCTTCCTAGAAGGTATATTGTAATGTAAATATCCTTAACGCCTTTAATCAACTTATACTTTATACAGGCAAAGTACAGCAGAATTGTTACTCAATGGAGGGCAGAGTATGAAATGGCTGTTAGGAAATAAATTAATAACAGTTACAACAAGCGGTTGTACACTAAAAGCCTTAAAACATGGATTATGCGACCGCTGTTTTCAAGTCTGTCGGATTCAGACAGGTAAATTTTTCACTTTTTGGAAAAGAGTTCTATTTACAGAATTATTATTATTTTTCTTTTCTTTATTTATTTTTGTGGGAGCTACCAACAGTGAAGTCATTTCACCTCCCACTCACTGTTATGACTGATGGGGTACTCAATATTCAGTCTTATGCTCTACATAAATCACACATTCACAATAATTTAATTATTTACAAATTTATTACAAATAAATATATACAACATGTAATTTATAATTATTTACTAATAAATACACACTTACACATACACACATTATATATACTATAATTGTATGTGAGGACAAATCTCTAAATCTCTCTTAAGAAACTGAACAGGGGGAACAACTCGCCCGCCAGAGTATCTTCTTTTCATAGTTTTCGAACAGATTTGACACACTGACCAACCTTTCTCTTCAAACGGGACACCTGCAAGGGCTTTGACCCAAAAGCAGGAGTCCGTATGTCAGACAGGTATGGCCGATCCTCAATTCTGGTCAACATAATCCTTTCCTTTAGCTTCAAACTTTCAGGAGGCTATCATTCAGTCTGACCAACTGATAATGCCAATGTTCTGTAACAATGTTCTTAACTGCTCGCACCAGGCTAGATCATGGTTCTAATTCTAGAAGTTACTTCTGTGATTAAAACTATCTTTAACAAAAAGTTAATTGCCATACCCACCCCACCTCAAATCATCTGGTGTATTTTTCTCTCACTTTAATTAAATTGTGTAATGAAATAGTTAAATTATATTGTAGAGCCCAGTTTCTCACCGGAAACAGATGACAAGAAGCAGAAAAAGACTGAAAACAAGAGCACAGAGGTAGGTCTTATTTTTAAATACCAGGTTGTAAAACAAATCTGTAGTGTTTTTAATGGTAAATTCAATGAAAATTTCAGGTATTTTGAGATGAACACACTGATACACAATCGGTATCAGTTATATTTTTGCTAATACACTGTAACATGTTTTTATGGTTCACTCTAATTGCTTGCCCATGTACGACTCTCCTCAAGTAGGTCTGACAAGCATCTGATCTAATTTCAAATATTTTTTTTTAAAACAATTAAACAGAAATACTTTCCAACTTGCAAAACAAATTTAATTAACTATAAATATATTTGAACTATTTTATAACATTAAATGTTACGATCTTCTATTTTGTAATTTGGTCCTTCTAGAACTTATCAGAACTGAACTGCTCGATGTGTTTTCTGCAGTTCTTAAGTGAAGCAAAGTTTTTTCCAATAATAGTGTTTTGTAGAGCCTGGAATAAGTGAAAATTTGAAGGAGCAATGTCACGTGGATGACTATGGGTGGAGTAGCTCATTCCCAACCAAGTTCTAACAATGTTGGTGTGTCTCGAAGACACACAGGGGCGAGTGTTATTCTTGGTGAAAAACAATCCCCTTGCGATTAGTCAATGCCTGTTGATTTTGGTCAAGTACTAACTTTAATTAATTAATGCATAACTAACTAAAATTAATGGCATGGTTGGTAGTTGTGCGAAAGATGCTCATAATAAAGCATCTTTACCAATCCCACCAAATGCACCACATAACCTTCTTGGAATGTAATCTGGCATTAACGGTAGGTTGCTGCGCATTTTCTACAGGATTTTCCTCTCTGAACATAAAGGAACCACTTTTCAACCCCTTTTATTAAACTTTTTAAAAATGGAGAAGAGAAACGCAGATGGAGACGGGGTCCAATAATTTCTTCTCATTATACATATGAGGAATCGCTCCTATGAAATAAGTGTCTCTGCAATGTATCGAGTCATTGAGGGTCAGGCATTTATGGCAAAAGCCTGAATTTGGTCGTCATCAATGGTTGAAGGACGACCAGAGCGCTTTGCATCTCCTAAATCGAAATTTCTGCTTTTGAACCTAGCAAACAATTTATGGATGGTGCTTTCTTGTAAAGCATCACAGTGCACATAACAAATTTTCCTAATAGTCTGAGCTGCAGTTTCCCTTTACTGCAATAATAATAATAATAAAACATTAAATCACGAAAATTATTATTTTGTCTCCATTTTAAATTATCAAAACACCTTGTAAAAATACGAGATATCGAACGAAACTGACAAATAAAAACAACACCTTAACATTTCATGTATAAACAATAATTACTAAATAAACATTGCTTCAAAACACAAGAGGAATAAAATCAAATGAAGAAAACTGCTATGGACTTATTTTATAAACTGCTATATTTCTTTTTAAAAAATTTTGTTTTTTATTTAAGAGTATACCTTCAAGCAATTCTACTGCTCCAAATACTCCAGATGAAGAAAAACCTGCCTTTAGCGAATCAGACACAAAAATGGAACATCTCATATATGGTGCGTGCTTAGAACAAAATAATCGTTCTCACAAATTAATTAAATTATTTATTTTCAGGTGCGGAAAAAAATGAAAGGCAAGTTTGTAGTTGTTGGTGCAAAGGATGGGCGGAAATTCATATTCGTAGGCCTACTGGTAATTATTAGAAAATAAAAACAAAAGTAAACGGTATTTATTTTTGTTAAAATATTTTAGGTTCGATGTCTTGGGCTATGAGGCTTCAAAATGAGCCCCATTCTGCGCAGATGAAGGATTTTACAAATTCTGACATATCCACACTTTTCCTACCTTCTTTTGCATCTAAAAATAGCGAAAACCAGGTAAACAGTCATGTTAATATAATGAAAGTAAATTAATTACTCAAAATTCTGTTTATTAACTTTATATTTCTGCACCCTTGCTGCAAAAACTGGTTAAAAAAAACTTGCAGGATTTTACAGTTTAGATCTTTGGTACAAACTCAATTTTTGTAATAACTTTTTTAATGCACTCATATTTCATCAAATTCAATGTAATCCTAGACGGATCTTGATAGGTATCTTTTAAAACCCTTACTCTATTCAGTCACCTTTTTTATTTCATGTTCATAATTTTCAATGATTTTGTTGTTTATTTCTATTAAATATTGGCCCAAACATGTAAGATATGTAAAAGTTATGTTCCTCCAAAATTTTCAGATATGTAAAATAAAGTACGGTTTATTTGCTTCTAAATGGTTATGAAACACAAAATAAAGTTTCAAAAGCCAATTATTTTATATTGCCAAAACTTGATTTACTCTTTTTTGCCTTGAGGGTGCAAATTTATTTTGAAATTAAGAAAGTCATAAATTTTTAAAATGTGCGATTTTCGAACATAGACTGCAAAGCTTTATTTTGATTGGCTCCTTAAATATTCTTAAAGCTCTGTTATTTCATATATACCGGATGTAAAATAAACAATAAGTATTTTAATGTGTGTAAATTGTTTTTGGAAATTGTCGAATCTTTTAGTATCCAAATAATACAATCATATTAACCTGTTAAGTATGCAAGTCTGTAATGGACCATTTTTTTTTGCAAAGATTATAAATTTAACTTCCTCAGATATTTACCATTGAAGTGTAATGAAAGTTCTTTAATTCGGGTAATTTTTGCCAACACCCTTGCAGAAAAATTGACACTCAAGTTTCATTCAAATAGGTATGCATAGGACCTTATATTTGCTATCTTATTCTTTTTGTATTTTTTTAGAAAATGGAAACAAAAATGTAATGTAAAAGTGTGCTTTTTGTGTGTATTTTAAGTAAACAATAATAAAGCATTTTGACATAGGCTGCATTGAAAGCTGGCAAAAGGGTTGGTTCCGAACCCGTCAGCATACCGTGTTCTCCAGTCCGAAGAAATCTACATCAGGAAAATGATGATTTTGGTAAGATCACAAAAAATAAAATAAAACATGCAGCTTTAATTTAAATTGTTGATATTTCTAATATAACCCCTTTCAGACTATATGACAGAAGATGGCACTGGTAGAAGTCGAAATCCTGTGAGACGATCTAATTCAAGCCCGGACATGAGTTCCAATTGGAAAAATCCCATTTTAAGCGTGGATGATTCAGAATTAGGAGAAAATAAAAAGAAGCAGACTTATACTAAAGATATGAGGTGGTATTTTTTAACCCAACAGGTACAAAATTGAAAATTATTTATACTTTTGTATTTGCAGAGTAAATTGTGAAGCCATTCCTGAAGAAATGGGCACTACACCACCTACATCTGATGCTTTACTTCTTGCACAGAGTGATGTGACTGACGCAAAACCTCCTGTTCCTACATCACCAAGAATAATCCCAAGAGTAATTATAAACTATTCATATAATTGATTTTCCAAGATTTTTTTTAGGAAAGTTTTTTCCTTTAGGAAATAGAGCCAAGAGGTGTTGACCCTTCAGGTTTACCCCCACTTGCCTTTCGTGACAGAGGGCACACAATTTCTGTGATGAGTCCTGTAAAGAAGCCAACCCAATGGGATCTTGCACCTAAAAGTCCAAAGCCCAAAAATACACCTCATCATCGATCTGGTGTAAATCCTTCGTAAGTTAAAATTTGGTTCTGAATAAGTAATATATTTGTAATTTTTATTTCTGTACTTTACCAAGGTTCGTCTTCCTTCAACTTTACCATTCAGCTCATTTTGGTGATTCTTATGAAAAACCGCTGCTTGTTACCAATTCTAATTCGGTCCAGTCGACGATGAAGAATCTAGACTGGGTTCCGCCTTATGAAGTGCACAAAGTGAGTTTTATTTGGAAAGATGATTTTATCATTTAACTCGGTTTTTCCTACGCAGGTCGGTGTTCTTTATGTCGGCCCTGGTCAAGCAAATTCTGAAATTGATATACTTAGAAACGAATACGGCTCTCCAAGATATGTTGAATTTCTTCAGGTCAGTAGAATTTACACAGATGAAGTGAGCAAGTACTTAAATACTCAATATTTTCTTAATTTATCAGCGGTTAGGCACTCTTATCGATTTAGCAGAAGCTGATAGACAACAAGTCTTCCTTGGAGGATTGCAGACAGACGGGAAAGATGGAAAATTTGCTTATATCTGGCAAGATGACGTTATGCAGGTAAAGCCCATTCTATAAAAAATCAAAATCAATAAATGAACAATTGTTAAGAAGCTAATCATTGTTAGGTCATATTTCATGTCGCTACCCTGATGCCAAATTCGCCAACTGATCTGAACGCTACTTCAAAGAAACTCCACATAGGAAATAATTTTGTTACCATAGTTTATAATGATAGTGGTGAAGAGTATAACTTCCAAACTGTTAAGGTTTGTAATTTCACATATCTTTTAAATGATGCAAGGTCTAATAATTTTTCAAATTTGCAGGCTCAATTTAATTATGCAGTCGTTGTGGTCGAACCTTTGGAGCATGGGACGAATCAGGTTATTGTCAAAGCGAAAGAAGAAGTGGTTCAGCACATCTGCCATACAGAATATAAAATAATATCGGATCAGAGCGTAGCAATTTTGGCTCGCCAATTGGCACTTCATTCTAACGTAAGTTACTTGAGAAAAAAAAATCTACTTGTCTTTAATTTGAAAAAATAAATTTTTAGTTGGCATCGATGATATCGTCTAAACAGAATTTAGACCCTAGAGAATCCTATGCTTCCAATTGGTTAGAAAGGCTCAGGCTCATTAAAAGGATACACACTAAACTACAACAAGAAGCTGTGATAGGTGAAGACCGTGCTCATTCTAGACACGGGGCAAGGAGAAGTCATTTGGATGATTTTACAGAATATACATAGCCTGTTAAATCATTAAATCGTTCCAATTTTGAAAATTCTTTCGAGAATTTTGTGTCATGAGATTTTACCTAATGTCTTTAATGTTCCATAATGGAAAGTTAACATTTTGTAATATATTAAACTGTTATTTTGATCTTTTTTTTAATAAATGTATATAGTTGAGTGTTAATGAATATTTTTGACCTTTTATTAATCATCAATAATTTTTTTCATGCCCAATTGAGTAAGGATTACTTGTAAAATTCCTTCTAATCTACAAATAAAGTATGATGAGATTTCCTTCTGCGGACAGCAAGGTGATGACCTATAATTTGATCCTTACTGATAGTCTGGGTCTGCCTACCCTCGCTGTGTTGGTCTGTCAGACATGTTTTTCAATATGAGTGTGCAATTTTTGTGAAGCCAAGTCTTTAATGAAACTTTTCCACTGAAGGTGCTGAAATGTGTCAATTGTAGGAAAGCTGTGGGAGGGAGGCATAAACTAGCTGCTGAGTTAGTTTATGACTGAATAATTTCTTTGTGTTATTTCATTTGTCAAAGCATATTTCAAGATGAGCATATGTCATGAAGATAGTCAGTACTGTTATATTGTGGGACATCATTCTTCAGAACAAAACGTTTCAGGACCTTCTAATGTAAGTGTAAAACTAGTATAGTTTACCTTCCTTGAAAGGGCTAGAGATTTTTAACTTACTGGTGATGCCTACTAAGTAACCCTGATTCAGGTTTTTGGTGAAAATAAGGTAATTCTGACAATTTATCAGGCTAGATTCTGATTTTTTTGAATAATGATTATTCATTCTTTTGATGACAATTTTGACAACATAGGGTTTCTATTGGGCTATAAATTTGATACCTTTAAGAAAAATTTGAATAAAGTCATTTGTGGCAACAAATAATTTGTGTTTCTATTGTTTCTATTTTGCATTATATTGCTTTATGTACTAGATTTACTTTTAACTTTGCACTTGGCATAGTTTATGCTGCTTATAAATTTTATACACAATTTTTACTACTTACTAGTACTCATATAAATATAAATCTAAAACTAGATTTGGGATTTTTTTTTACTTTTGGGGATTTCTTGGGAATTTTTTCATAATGTACTTAATTAAAAAGCATAAAGGTAATATGATAGTGTAAAATTTCTTCATCTGTGAGGCAAACCAAAATGATTGGTAATGACCAAATTATAAATTCAAGTAGTTACAGTAATCAAAAAAATTAAAGAAAAAATATATTACTATTGAAAATTAATAACTAAAATAAAACTTTTGAATAAGGATATTAATTATTTTCTTGAGGCAATTAATTCAGAATGATGAAGATAATTAGGAGGAATTTATGGAATGAAGAAAATGGAAAAAATTCTTTGATTATAGAATGGAACGTGGAAATTTAAGTGAGAAAGTAATAAAAGACAATTGATCCTATTATTTATTAATTTATAAATAAACACAAATCAAAATCAATCTGACAATATTCTAATGAAGGTGAGTAGTTTGGAGATAGGGAATATTAAGTGAACTGTACAAAATATTTAATATGAAGGAAATGAATTTAAAGAATTTACTTTGAATATCTAAGGAATGTTTTTGATAGAGAAGATCCTTATCCTTATAAGACCAGAGAGGAGAAGAAAATTCAAGATTAAAACGGACAAGAGCAGAATAGAGTTACTTATATTATTGATGATACTAAAAAATGTGTGTGAATTAACACAATTTTGTGTTGATAGATGGTCTCAAATTTCTTTGAAGTTTCACTATCCTTGACAATGTTGGGACTGAGGTCTACAAAGAAATTTGAATCCATCTATTAAAAAATTCAATTATGGCAATTTATAGACATAATTAGATTGTTTTGCACTGATGATGACCTTAAAATAGTCGAAAGCTTAGCTGATAACAATTGAATATTTTTCATCCAGACCATACCGAGATCCAGATTATTCAAATATACATGTAGTGAATCTTCCTCAGTCATTAAACATATCCTGTTCTATGCAAGCAATTAGCAACATGCCTGAAACATGTCTATCGTTATGTACTGAAATCTGTTTCATATTTGAATAATTGCGGTAGAGTTTGTACTAAGTGTGGGAGGCCAAAAAAGGTTCCGACTTCTCAGGTTGTTCACATTTAATTACTAATATGGTACTATAGTACTTGTGAGGTGTTATCCAATGGTTTCAACGTATAATTAAAGTTCCAATGGTTATTGATCTAGAATGACGTCCGTCAACGATGACATACCATTCGAACACGTACTGTTATTTATTTTATCATTTATTATTTGGATTGAGCTCATCTTTTGTTATATTGTTTTAGTTTAATGCTTAGCATGTTATAAGGATCGTTATGACGTTGCACATAGCACACAACTTCATACTAACATTTGTGTATATGTTTAAATTTAAATAATCGTAGATTGTAACTAAATAATTAAATAAGTAATTAGTTTAAGTTGTCAATATTTTTATAAATAAACTTAGAAACCGTATATTTTATATTATCATAACAATTCAGGGAAAGCAGTAGAAAGAATATTTTCGATGAATCCCATTCTTGACTGGACTTGGCTCTATTGAAAGGCAATATTTAATTTTTTTATTGTTTGTAATTGTTTAAAAATTAACTCCTTAGAAGCTAAATATTGTCACATTGAATTTTCAAAATTTGCCTAAGTCGTCACTTATTTTAACGGGCAACATTTGGTTATTACTCATTATGTGTCTGGAGAGTAAAAGTGACAATGGATGGGGCGAGGCCTGACTTGTACGTTTGTATCGAGTGTTGTGTTTATGTTGATTTATTGTAATTTATTAGCATGAAAGGAAAGGGTTGTTTAATTCCACCCTGAGGAATTTCGAGCATTCTGAGGTGAGCGATACATTCAGAGAGTAAAAGTAAGTGATTAGCGAGAACGGGTTCAACCCTGCCTCGAGGAATATCTAGTAATGAGGATGCTGGGGTGAATGTGACCAGACTTCTTTGTTTATGGTGATGTATGTATATGTATAGTGTTTTATTTTGTTTATTTTGACAAACTGAGGTACAAGAAGCTAGCATTTTAAGATATCAACTTAGTTTTCGTGCAAAAGCATAGAGTCAGTAACAGATCGAGATGCTCAAATGGTTGCAGGTTGAAAAATACATGTCAAAGACCAGGAAAAGGAGTACAAACATACAGAGGGATGGCGACCTTAGCTGTTTGTCAGTCCCTAAACTTCCCACATTATTATTGCTCTTTTCGGTGCAACAAACTTAAATGTTATAGCCTTGGTTTATTCAAGTGGAAATTAGTGTTTGTGGCAGAAGGCTGAATTTGATCAAAACCAATTGTACAAACAATCAAAATTTTCACTGTTCCATAATTCACTGAGGAAAGACACGCATTTTTTTTAGAAAACTTCTTGCATTAACATATAACATTGTAGCTTTAGTTTATCAATGAAAAAAAATCCTAGTTGATATTTTTTATTCATCAAATCAGACAAAAAGCTGTATAGATTAAAAGTAATTTTTTAAATATTGAGAAATTTGAATAGAATTTTTTGTGGTTTAGAACAGCAAGGTTTTTAACCCATGTTTTCTTTGTTGTGCTTTAATATTTGGTGCTTAAATATGTTTTTAGATGAAATAAGCAAGTAAAAAAAGTAGTGTATTTATTTAATCAAACAAGTATAAATGAATGTTTCTTGAAAAAACTAGTATTATTTTGTTATTGACTAAAGCTAATTTTTGTTTGCTTTAGAAGTCTAAATATTCCTGTCTTTACTTGTTTTTTTCTCCTTGGTTGTGTTTTTCATTAAGTATGTGGTAGGAAGTAGGCTTATTGAACTTTCAACAATCATATTACTTAAAACAATTTATTTTAAACTTTTCGGGACTGCATCATACTCAGACATTTTTCATACATAGTGCTATTGGAAATTCTTGGATTTAGAACTGGAGCGTTTTCACATGAATAGAATCGCTGAGGATGAGACAGGTGTGTTTCCAAAAAGGTTTATAATAAATTGTTTAAAAAAAAAGGCTGTTAAAAGTTCAAGAAGCTTACTTTTGAGTCTTTTTTCAATGCCTGCAGCAAAACCCCATCTCCAAAAATAATCCAATATTTCTTTGAGTTGTCAGTATATCAGAAAGATTCTTCCTTATAACAATTGAAAGAAAGTGTGCTGGGCCCATAATCCAGATGTCCATGGATAAAAAAAAAATTTTGAAATGTTTTGTGGTTTAGAAAAGCAAGGTTTTTACCCCTTGTTTTCTTAGTTGTGCTTTAAAGTTTGATGGTTTGGTTTTTAGATAAAATATGCATGTGGAAAGTAATGTATTTAATCGGACAAATTTGAATGAACGTTGTTTTGATAATAAAGTAAGTAAAGATTCTTGTAAAAACTAGTTTTATTTTTAATAATCTAAAGCTAATTTTTGTCTGTTTTAGAAGAATAATTTTTTTTGCTACCATTATTTATAGGAGATGGTTAAATGTGAACGCAAAATAATAAATACAAAATTGAAAAAAAATACTCAGCATTGTTGAGATTTTTGAACAAAAAATACATTTATAATTATTAAAAAAAGGCTAGGAAGCTGAAAAATAAATAAATAAATAAATTTTTTATTAAAGTGTTATCATTATCCACCATTTTTGTACTCACAAATAATCTGGATCTGGATCAGTTGTCATCTGTCAAACTTTCAACGTATTTTAAGGACATCATCAGGACAAAGCTTTCTTTCTTAAAGATGCCAACAAATTGACATAATTAAGTTTTTAATGGATGGTTTCTAATTTCTTTGAAGACTTGAAGATTGCCAAGGATGATGGTATTGTTGGACTTAAAAGAAAGAATTTATTTTTTCATCCAGGCCATATTGAGATCCAGTTATGCATGAAAAATGTGTAAACAAATCCATTCCAGAGTTTAGTAGTCCAAATTAGTAGATGCCAGTTGTCCTAATCCTTTCCTTCCAAGATTGTACTGGTTTGATGGCATCATAGTGGATGCCAAGATCATAGTGGTATTTTATTTATGGCAAGAAACCTCTCTTGAAGAAGAGATGTTGAGTTGTACAAATTAGTTGATGACATGTCCAAAATAGCACATGGTGCCAGTTGTAAGAAAAGATCATACACTTTGGAATCCCGAACTTGTTTTCACTCAGAGACCTTCTCTCTTCGATAGTGTCAGGAATCAGATTTATAGACCAATAAGCCTCTTTCCTATTTTATCCAAAATATTCTAATTTAATTAAAAGATTTAATGCTCATAGTCTACTCAAAACAATTAATTCTTAATCATAAATCATTTCAATTAATTATTCTTCTGAGAACCCACGACCTTCGGCTATCCCGCTCGAGACCCATTTTATTAAGAGGCCAAACTTTTTCATCTCAACCAAGACTTTACATAAAAAGAATAATAAATTGAAATAATTAATATGGCCAATTATGACTGCTAAACAAATATGATGTAATGATATATTTGGTTCCTTCCATTCTACAGTTCAGCAGGGCTAAATAGTCAATAAGATATTCTCAGCTCCAGAAAACAAGCAATATTGCTCAGCTGTATTTATAAACATTAAGGAAGCAGCGAGTGTGGCACTCCGGTGTCCTTTTCAAATTAAAAAATATCTTTCCACACCTACTATCTCATACTGAAGTCCTTCTTTTGGATCACTGGTTTAAAGTGAGAATCGGCTCTGATTTTTCCATCATCAAGTAATCAAAGCTGGCATTTTGCAAGGATCCTAGGGTCAGTCCTCTACACAATTTACACTGATGACATACATTCATTTCTTGATTCCCACCATTATAATCCTCCACTGTTTTAGGTGGTGATGCCTTCATGACTTCCTACCTTGGCATTATCCTAGCCCCAAATGTACACTTGACATCGCCAAAAGACTTATTTGGAACTTCCTCACTCGACTCAAAAGACTATTTGATAATAAATAAAAAATCTCACTTCAAAACAAATGCTTAATTTACAAATTACTATTACAACCAATCTAGATGTGGGTAATATTCGTACCTCCAAAGAATCCAGTCACTACAGTCCAAAATCGTTCCAACCATTGCCCAAGCTTACTATCAACACCGCAAGAAATTGGTACTGATGTCGCCATAAATCCTTGGACTAGCATGCCAACACCTATCCTCTAAGATGCTTAAAGTGGCAATGGCCTAGCAATTTCTTCCCTAGTGAGTTAAGTGGATAGTGCTTTGTAGTAATGTCATGGATTACTTCTCCCACCCTTATAATATTATAATTTGAAATTCATAAATATAACAGTTACTTGTAGCACTCTAGAACTTTTGTTTCATAATAATAATCATAAAAAAAATAAAAAATTTTTTATGCTTTTTAGGTTAAAACTGTAGTGGTCTTCCCAATGATAGTGGTTTAGTTTAAAGAAAACCCAGAAATTATTGTTTTGAACTTTATATATTTCACTTGATCTGCCTTTAAATTATAATTGTTTTGTTTTTTCAGCCGACGGGTTTGGGACCGTCTTCAAATCGACAGTCACCTGTCAAATCAAATGCCATTGTTATGTACTCAGCGATCACGAATCCAGTCAGTTTTGCTACTCTACAGTCCAACACGGATATCAAACTTCCGCCTTCAAACTGGCTGAAAAGTTATGCTGACTCTTATGGCCTTAACTACTCCCTGCCGAGGACTACTGGATTCACTAGGTGAATTTGAATTGAAATGTTATGCAATGATAAAAAGCAATAATTATTGCTTCCAGTTTGACCTGATTTATATGTTACGAAACAGTTTTCCAATTGAAGGTTTTGTAATAATTGTTTTCTTTCAAGTTTTCACATGGCAAATATGTTTCCCGATTGCGTCGGGGAAGTGGATGTAGTCTCAGATGCTGAAAATATAAAAAAACTGTTGAAGATCCCTTACAGCGACAGCACGGTAATCTTAATTATATAAAAATATGCTTGGATATTCTATCACTTGCTTGTTTAAATTTTTTATTTTATTTTTTTAGGTGAGCATGATGGTTCATAGAGTGGAAAATACTTTGCTGATCGACGAATTTGATATACATAAACATCTATTATCTAGGGCTGAAAATGACTGGACTTGGCTCAGGAAATTTTTCTTCGATCACATCATTGAAACTCTGAGTGCCAAAGTAAATAATTAATAATACAGTAATTTACTGTAGTTCTCAGGGTAAAACATTAACTTATTATTTTTGCATAAAGGATAAAAGCATTTCATTACGAGAGAAAAGTAGGTATGCTCTACAACAAAAATCGTTGGTGTCTAAATTTCTCCACTACAGTCTTGTGGAGCCAGAAGAAGAAGTTGAGACAAATGATCTACCTTTGAATACCCCATCTTTACCTTTAACAGTGAATTTTTAAATATATTTTTTACATATAATTATTCAATGAATTATAATTTAATATTTTCCAAGAGAGAGCCAGCTCTCCCGGAGCCACCCCTCGAAGAAGGGTTACCAGATTCATCAAATTACAAGTACATTCGTAATGTTGTGTGGTCCTTTGAGGATATCCAGATGCTTCTTGGGACAGATATGCCAATATTTGGAGGGCCGACAAGACCTTGTATAAGTCTGAGATTACGGTATTTTCACTTTTTAATATAAAAATTATAATTAAACGGTGAGTTGTTAAGTATTGATTATTCCAATTATTTTTAGAGATGCGACAAAACCAATTAGTGTTTTAACCGGTATCGATTATTGGTTGGATAATTTAATGTCAAATGTACCAGAAGTGGTTATGTGCTACCATTTAGATGGGATTGTTCAAAAGTATGAGCTGATCAAGACAGAGGACCTACCTCATCTTGCTGAGTCCAGATTTTCGCCAAAACTCATTAGAGATGTAGCTCAAAACATTTTATCATTTTTAAAATCAAATGCGACAAAGGCTGGTCATACCTACTGGCTGTTCAAAGGCATGTAACATTTTAATAATATGGAAATCAGAAATATTCACGAAAGTTATTTTTTTAGGAACAAATGATGATGCTGTTAAACTTTATGATTTAACATCTCTCTGTTCGGATACGTTGGAAGAAAAGGGGCAGAATCCATTCACAGTCCCAGTTGGGATGCTCTTGTACAGGGTTGCCAGGAATATGAAGGCAAACGGTGGTGAAGGCCAATTGGCCACGATACGGATTTTGCTGAAAAATTGCCTTTCACTTCTTGATAAAGAGAAATACCCTCATATTGTCACTTCAGCACATTTTATTCTTTCAGATGTTTATGTCCCTTGTGATACTGATCCATCATCACCTGAATTGCTGGTACTTCCCGAATCAGGAGAAGATGTTGATGAAGGGGAAGACGACAGCGATTCAGGTATTTTAAGGTCCGTTCCCGTTACAGATCTTTGTGTTTCGAATTATACAAGCATCAGTAAGTTTTTGCAAAAATATATACTTTGTAAAATATATTAAATTTTTAATGATTATTTATGTTTGTACTTAGACAATAAATACAGCCCACCACCGATGACAGGCGGGCTTGAAGAAAGATGTAATTTAGCTCTTCAGCATGTCAGCGAAGGCTTAGATTGCCTTCAATACTTTGAGAAATCTAATTTCGTATGTGATAAAAATTTAATCATTCATAAAAAATAATTATTTAATTGAAAACTAATTTAAAACATTTTAGAAGCCACAGGAAAAAATAAAAAAAGAAGAAGAGGAACCAAAAATGGCCAAACCTTTTGAAGCGATTCCTATGCCATATTCAAAATTGGACCAAAAAGAAAAAAATAAAAAGAAGAGGAACAACTCAGAAAAAGAAAATGACTCAGAACAAGATGATGGGTATTTTTTTGACACTAAAAGAAAAAACTAAATTAAAAAGATTTTATTATACATATTTTTAATTTTAGGGAGAGCAAATCTTTAAAAACACTTCTTTGTCGCACCTCACATGAAACAATGCCAACATGGCAGAAATCAGATAAATCTGATATTAATTCCTGGAAATATCATTTGAGCTGTTTATTGACAAAAAAGGCTTGCCTTGTTTATTCAATTCTCATAGAAAAAGAAATTTTAATGGAAAGGTAATTTTGTTAGCCGTTTGGTATAATTTATAAAATTCAAATTTATTTTTAAAATTTCAGATACCATTTAGCGCTGAAACACATCCAAGGCGTGCTTAGGTGCTGTGGCAAAAATAAAGATCTTGTAGGTTTAATGTTAAATAGAGCTGGCGACTGTTTTTTTAACTCTGCAAACAAACCAGAATTGTGTCAAACAGAGGCTGACAAATATCCCACAGTAGAACGACCTGGGCAGTCTCTTTATGAAAAAGGTGAAATTTATAATTTAATATTAGAAAATAGAACAAAATGATCATGAAAATGTACGCTATGATTAATTATTAATTTGAGGCCAGCTGCTCTTGGATTTTGGAACATAATCACGATCAATAGTTAATCAAAGTTGAGCAGATCATATGCAGTTTTATAAATGTACACCATTTAACTGTTTAATACAGTCGAACTCCCCAAATGGACATTTCTAATAACTGGACAATTTTATTTTTCTTGGCATTATTCCATTTACTTTACGTAAACTTAAAAGTTAATAAAATAGAAAATAAACCTTTAATTTTCAAATTTATTTAAAATAACATACGCTTTTAAATTTTCATAAATAAAAATGTATCTTTCTTATGCTATTCTCACCAAAATGATATGAAACGACCAATATTTGCAATGTTACATATATGAATTTTCCTCCAGAACTTGAAATGATTTCAAAAACTTACGATGGGCCGGAAGATCTTTTAAATGCGAGCATTGCTTGCTATACAAGATCTTTGGAGCTGTATTATTCAATCGATACCATGAGAAAAACTGGAAATGCTTGCAATGTACTCAACACTTTTTATACAAACCGAGCTGCAGGTATTTTGCTTATTAAATAATACAAACAATACTTAATTTTTAATGTGTATTTTTAAAAATTTTAGGACTACTTCAAGAAAACAGGGATAAATTTGATGAAGCCGAGTTTGAAAAGTGTGTGACCAACGCTCATAAACTTTTGGCCCTTGGGCTCAAAAACTTCGAAGCTGTTGGTGATAAAACCAACTGTTCTCTACTCATGTGCAACATGGGAAGGCTGCATCGTTTGAAGGCTCATTCGCCTTCAGTAAATGCATCGACTCACTTATCACCCCAACAGAAACATTTTTATAATAAGGTTATTTATTTAATAAAAAATAAAAAATAACACATCTTATAATTATTATTGTACTTCAGGCACTTGAGAGCTATACAGCTGGCTTACAATACTTAGGGACGAGAAAAACTAACCCTCAAATTTGGGAGGTTGTACATTGGGAATTATCATCGGCTTTGTTCACATTTGCGACAATAACTCAAGATAATCAACCTCCTACGGTTGATAAGGTAAGGAAATCCATGTGTTTTAGATTTATTTTGACTAGTTTTCGGTTGTGTTAACAATTTTTATTTAAAGACATACAACGATGTTGAAAGAGAAGTTATTGATTTGCTTCAGCGTGCTCTTAAACATTGTGACACTACATCGAATAGTCCGTACCAATTGCTTTATCAGTATCGTGCGGCTAAATTGCACCATCGGCTCGCATCTTTGTATTATAATTCATACCGGTAAGAATAATTTGGAATAATTTGACAAGTAAATGGAATTTTTAATAAATAATTTTGCATTTAGATTTCATAGTTGTGACACTTCTAAGAAACGAGCACTTCTTCATCTTCTTGAGGTTCACTATTCGACAGCCTATTCACACTTTACACTTTTAGAAAATCCAGTCGACATGCTTAGAGTCCAGTTAGAAAGAGAGTCATTAGAAGAATATATGGCGGAAGGTAGATTTTTTAAAAGATAAAAAGTTTACAAATTATAATTATTTTGTATATTTGTAGAAGGTAAAAGCCAAAAATTAAAAAAGAAACACTACCTCAACGCTTTGAAATTGGCATCTCAGTGTAAAGAAGCCATTCAAATCATAGAGGAGTCTAATGCTGCAAAATTGGATAAAGGTTTGGCACTGATTTTTCATAATACATTTCAAAAAGTAAAGAAATAATTTTTTTAGAAAAGGAAGTCGAAGAAACAGAAGAATCCGAAGAGGAAGAAACGTTGATTACACTTTTACTTCAAAGAATCCAGTTCCTACTTAAATCTTTAATCAAATTAATTTCTGCTGACAAGTAAACATAAAATTTATAAATTTTATATCTCTAGAAAAAAATAATGAATTTTTGTTTATATATTTCAGACAGTCTGGCCCAATTGAAAAATTCAAGATGGCATATGCAGCATCATTGAAAAAAGAAGCATCAGACTCAAAAATTATTCATTTGAACAAAGTTTTAGACCTGATACAAAAAGAATGCTTAGTTTTATAAAAAGAAAAAAGAAAAACACACTGTGTTTCAAACTGGAAGACTGCTTTATCAATCTTAATATTATACATAATTTGGAAGACTGATTTATTTGTGAAGATATTAGAAGTGCCTTAATTCAAAGAAAATTGGAATCTGTATATATAATTTTTTTTCTGTATAAACTTTTACTTCAAGCTGTAGAAAAAAAGTACAATTTTTCGTTAATGTTTTTTAAAAAAATTCCCTGTGATGTTTATTGTTAATTAAAAAAAGAAATGTTAGTATTGTGATGTATACTGTTTTTAAGCTGTTGTGTTTTGGTTTTTATGCTTTTTCTTTGTTACAAGATTCTGTTCAATGTCTGTAATTGTACATTTGTGACTAAAGTAATAAGGATATTAAGTTTTGTATTTCTCCAATTTTTTCTTTTTAGTTTCTCTGTTCTAAATACATTTTTTAAAAATTTTATACACTTTTTTTAAACAAAATAAATGTGCTTAAAACTATGCTACTTATGGTAAGTCTACACAAAAATTTCAGTTTTATATTTAAAAAATCTCTTGAATAAGGTTTTTCTTCCCAATAATGTTTTGTAACAGAACTGTATTAAGTTTTGTTTTAGAAAATATATTTCAATAAAAAATAGGTTCTAATTTTTACATTAACACTTTCCTGTCTATGTTTCTTTTTCTCCAGCAAATGTTTGGCAGTTGGCAGATTTCTGTTTCAGTTTGTCCCATTTTTTTTGGGTCGTAATTAAATGGGTAGTGGCTAGTCTAAAGACCTATTATTTTCCCTATTATAGTAACTGCTTACTAGAGAGAGGTAGACTTTTGTATTCCTGGTTGAGATGTTGAGGAACTTCTGTTTACTTTTGTAAATGATGGTTCTAAACAGAACCATAAAAAACTCCTAATTTACAAAAAGTGAATCTACATACTCACTCCACCTTTATCATTTATACTTCTTTGTTTACGTTGAAACTGGTGAATTTATCCAGTGTGTGGCTCTTTCTTTCTCAGTTCATTTGTTTAGTTCTGCTCTTAGCATGCTTTGAGGTGTGCCAATTTGCAGTTCCAATGGGTGTGAGCTTCTCCTGCTTTTGCTAGCTTGTAAACCTGTTCATTTCTTATAATCCCCTCTAGCCTTGGCACCTACATTAGGGTTACCTGATTACATTTTCCCAGGAGCTGGTGATACGTTAGGCATTCCCAGATCAGCTTTGAATTGAAGGTGGGGGAACAGTGCTGCATGACTATGTGAGAATATGTATATCTACGCGTCTTTTTTAAGTATTAAAGACAGAGTTCTATTGTAAGGATCTTTCTTGGAAAATTGATGGGGTGGGTGCAAAGTTTTGCTAGGTTAAATTTGAACCAATGACTCTTGCTGTCAATTCATGTTCCACTTAATCCCATCTATATATGATAATAATTATTAGACCATGATGTCTTTTCGTTCATGAGTTTTGAGTCTATCATGATGAGTCTACCAGGATTTGTGAAAATAGTTGAAATATTAAATTGTTGATGGGTGTTGTTCTGGGTGTCAATGAAGATGTATCGAATCTGGATCCGTCTATGCTTGCAGGTTTTTGATGCTACTTGTGAGAAAAACTCAGAAATTTCCATTTCATGTGCAAAGGACCAGCATGATGAAAATATCTTTGTACGCCGCTAAACGTAGATTTGCAGGTCATTTTGAATATCCAATCAAATAATTATCTAATTGGAAAATACTAAGAGATGGGAAAATGTCAAGTTGACGAATATTCGATCAGGACAGGAGTTTACAAAGTGGGCGGTATCACCTCCAGGGGGCACAGAAACCTTTCGAAACGTAGGATGAGGCTCTGAGGCAATTTGGAGATATTGAATAATAAAGAAAGTAAGGGGCGGTTTTAATATCATGTTGAATATAATAAATTTGATTAGCATCACGAATCAACTTGTTTAGAATGCAGATTTAATTACAAAAGGTAGATGACCACCTTTTTAAAAGGATTGTTAGGCGGTGACACGGCAAAAACCTATTTTCGAATGTTTGGTGAACCAGACCATGAGTAGATTCTCTTGTCATTATTTACTCTCTCTGATCGGCCTATTCTCGCTTTCTTTTTCAACACATTTCGTTATAACTGTATTCTCGTGTACCAAACCGCTTTACATCTAACCTCGTACTTCTTGTTCTTCATTGAAGTAAAGAAACACATCTGACCAAAGTAACGTGTTTCTTCATTTGGAGATGTGAAAATGTAAACAGATCGATATTTTTAATAATAAAACAAAGATTTGAGTTTCAGTGATGCTGTCCGCAAAGGAAATTCAAGGGTCAAATTTGCTTTTTACCACTAATTTAACATCTCAGAACGACACTGTTGGCTTGATTATATTGCCATAATATTAAGATATAAATACCAAATTGTGCCGTCAAAGAACCCACAAATAATTCAAATAACAAAATGTATAATAAAGATGTACGTCAAAATGAGAACCAATTCTATATTTGTTTTATTCCAAAGATTTATTCCAATAATATTGAATTCGAATATTCTTAAAAAGCCTCAATTTAGGTATGTACATAGTTTTATATCGTTTAAACGAATTTTAACAGCTATAAAGCGATTTGTTGTTTTGAAAACAAGTAAAACGGATAATAACAAAATTAAAAAACAAGCAAAAACTGGTGAAAATTAATATAATTAACGATTTGGATAAATCAATAAATAATGTAAACATAATACCAACATCATACAAAATATATATAAAAAATAATTTTAAAAAAAATTAATTAATAAAATTANAAACAAGCTAAAACTGGTGAAAATTAATATAATTAACAATTTGGATAAATTAATAAATAATGTAAACATAATACCAACATCATACAAAATATAAAAATAATAATATTAATAATTTAAGAAAAATTAATTAATAAAATTATAAAACAAAAATAAAATTACATATAAATAAATTAACGAATAAACTCTTATAATAATTCTTTAATTCCATAAAAATGTCTATACTACAGTGGAATTTAAATGGCCTTAACTTCCGCCGAAATGAGATACAATATTTAATTTCAAAACTAGACTGCTCAATACTTTGTTTACAGGAAACCAACTTAAAACCTACTGATGATACCAGTTTTCGGGGTTTTTCACTTCTGAGAAAGGACTTTACTGATGGACAAATTGCATGTGGCGGTGTGTGCATTCTGATTAAGAATAACATACCGTACAAAAGTATAAACATAACCCCAATTTACAAATAGTGGCGGCAAGAATAATGCAGCCTCCACACTTCACTATTTGTTCTGTGTACCTTTCACCTAACCAATCAATCTCATTTGAGGAGTTAGAAATAGCATTCAACCAGCTGCCACGGCCACTGATTGTCCTCGGAGATTGATAACGCCCATAATCAGTTGTGGGGGGGGGAGATAGGTAAATGGCGGGGAAGAATGGTTGAATTATTAATTGAACGATTCGGCCTGAATATTTTGAATGATACTTCCCCCACATTTCTGCGCTCGGTCCGGTAAACCCTCTATAATTAAGATCTATTATTGTGACTTTGTGAGCCCAACGATGCACCCTCATTTGACCTGGTACTCTGAAGGATGCCCATGGCAGTGACCATTTTCCAATTGTGATTTGCATATTGCCCCAGAGGCAACAAACTGTTAACCATCCATGTGCATGGAAAATCAAAAAAGCAAACTGGTCACTATATCAACAGACAGTTCATCTTGGTAATTTAGATACAGAAAGCATTGATATAGATAGATTGATCGAAAACCTAAATAAGAAACTAACAGAAGGTGCACAAGTAGCCGTCCCGAGATCGGCACCCTCTGAAAGGAATCGACGAAAAAATGTCCTTTGGTGGAATGAGGAGTGTAAACGAGTAGTGAAAGAGAAAAAGATGTCTAAGTGTATTTCTTCGCAGGCCATCTAGCTTTAATCTAAATAAATACATTATAGCTAGGAAGCATGCTAGATACACAATTAGAAATAGTAAAAGAGAATCTTGGAAGAAATTTCTTGAAAGTACCACCTCTAGCACACCAGTTTCAGTTTTTTGGGATACCATACGTAAATAAGGGGTTGTGGTAACACTACAACAATTACGTACATCGAATTAAGCGATGGACGGTGCATTGCGGATTCCAAAACCATAGCTGAGACTTTTGCCGAACATTATCAAAATGTCTCTTCTTCAGCAAATTTTGACGATTCGTTCATCACCATAAAAAACAATCGAGAAATGTCACCCATAATCGTCACACCAAACTCCTCCGACCCACTAAATTACCCTTTCACACCTGTGGAATTCGCAGTGGCCCATAGTTCTAGTAGCGATACGTCCCCGGGACCCGACTATTTGTATTAGCTTCATTAAGAACTTGAAAGGAACTGATAAAATGGTCATTCTTAAAATAATTAACAGGATTTATTTAACTGGGGAATTCCCGAATATTTGGAAAATGGCAATTACCATACCATTACTAAAAGCAGATAAGCCAGAACACGAAGTTAAAAGCTATCGCCCTATACCTTAACATCTGAGTCCTCTGTTCCGATTTTTGTAGGAAACAGGGTAGTTTTATGTTATACAGTAACGATAATTTTTCGATGGCAGAATATTAAGTACCTAATCGATCATCAATTAATGTAATTATATAGTATGTGTAAAAGGTGATGGAGGAATATCGAGTACTCCACCATGTTAATTGAATGAATTGTATATAAATAGGAGAGAATGCATTTAAGAATGAACTTGAGTATAAACATGTTTGGAACTGCATGCGTTGAATGCTGAATTGATCTAGCTGTTGAAACAACAGACATAAACCCCGTAGGCTGGACGGATAATACCGAGGTCTACCCCCCGACTGTCAACACCTGGAGTTGATGATTCTCAAAGTAGCCGGCAATTTATTAATAAACTGCAAAAGCTGGATTGTGGACTGCGAGAAGCAATAGACTCAACTCTGCAAATATTTATGTATACATACATGTATAGGGTTGTCCGTTTCCAAGTTGAAGGTTTTTAGTAAATTTATTATACAAAAACAAAATCATTTTATTCTAAGTATTTTTTACATATTTTGACCAACGCGTGAACAACTTTTTAAAGCCGGAACTGAAGAATTCTGAGCTTTGAAATGAAAGAAAGTCTGTAAACGCTGTTTGGACTCGAACATCATTTTTAAAACGTTTTCCTTTGACGAAGTTGTTTAAATTCCTAAACAGGTGAAAATCTGTTGGAGACAAGTCTGGAGAATTTGTGTCGATTTACGGTGTAGGGTAAATCCGTACGTACCTAATGTCCGACAATGCGCGAACTGCCTTTGTTTCAACCATTTTAAAGATCAATGCCGAGCAAAAAGCAGATGCGATGTTTGCGGGCTTACACACATAGACAATGTAGAATGTACACGCACATTATTTTCAGTTACGGCTG